GATTATTATTATTATTTTGCAAGGCTTTGTTGTCCGGTGCAAGACACAGAACCATTTACGAGGGGCTTGACCCTTGTTTGGTGGCTTGCACTGGCACACCTGACTTCGGGACTTTGCAGGTGGGCTGTTCCTTCCTCTGAAATGGGGTTTGCCAGCACTTTGGGCCATAAAGAGGCATAAAGAATTGCCTTCCAGGAAGAAAAACCCACTTTGTCTAGCAGACGGTTGATGACAAGCGGACAGATGCCTTTGCTGATTTACCTGCCATGCCTGCAGATGTCAGCTCTTTCTTGTTGTTTGTACTCGATACATACAGGCTTCATAGGTACACACTTTTGCCTCTGTGCGCAGGTACTTTTTCCCAGTGGAGTAATGTAGGTCTAACACGCTTGCTCCCTCCTCAATATGACACCCTTCAAATATTTAAAGGGGGCTATCCTATCCCCTCTTAAGCGTCTCTTCTCCAAGCTAAACATACCCAGTTCCCTAAGTCGTTCCTCATAGGGATTCATGGTTTCCAGACCCTTCACCATTTTAGTTGCCCTCCTCTGGACACGCTCCAGTTCTTCAACATCCTACTCAGAAGCATGGCCAAGGAATCCCAGATAATAATAATAATAATAATAATAATAATAATAATAATAATAATAATAATTTTATTTATTTATATCCCGCCCCTCTGCTGGGCAATCGGATGCTGTTGGCTCGATTTCGGAAGAAGCACCTCCGAGCATTCCTTGCCTAAGCAATGACCATTTCAGAAGAAATGCATGGGGGTCACCCAAAGTCAACAGACACACACATACACACACACACACCCAGCCCAAGGGAAGGATCCTGGCTTGTCCCAACCTTCAAGGCCTGGTTGGGTTGGCCTTGTTTCCCAATGGCCAAGAGGAGGCCTTGAGGTGTTTTCTCATCCCGAAAGAATGAATTCCCCGCACTCCAAGGGTCCCTCTGGCTCTCTCTTTCTCTCTCAATCTCTCTCTCTACAGTGGTCTCCTTTCTCTCCCCCTTCTCTGATCTCCTCCTAGTGTTTGCCCAGTCCATCAACCCAGACAGGGTTAGCCTCTGAGGTCAGTCTCTTTTCCATTCCAAACTCCCAGACACTTCGGTGGGTGAGCCGGGGAGGAGATTCAGGTTACAAAACCCCCCTTCTCTCCTCCCCAGCAGCTTTATAACTCTCTTAGCCCTGGCCAAAGGCTGGGATTTGCCTCTGGATGCTCCCAACCATTCATTGCCTTCCTCCAAGTCCAGAAGAGTCTCCTTTCTAGACTAGAGGCACGGGTTGTCTTG